TAGAAATCCATGAAGGGATCAATCCATTGATTACGCCAGAGCACTCATGATCTAATAATCATCTCTGTTGATACCCTCATGGACACATCTAGAAGTTGTTGGGGTTTTTGTTTTGGTTTGGTTTTTTTGAAGCAGGGCCTCACTTTGTAGTCCTAGCTGGCCTAGAACTCACTATATAGACCAGACTGGCCTTGAACTCACAGAAATCTGCATGCCTCAGTCTCCTGAATACTGGGATTAAAGATGTATGCCACAATACCCAGCCTCCTAGGTGTTTTTAATCCAATTCAGTTGACAATTAACCATCATACTACCTAAATAAAAAGTTGGAACCTTTATGTGAGTCTCCCTATTTTGTTCAAAATTTTACCTATCCATGAAATCTTGAAGTCTAGAAATAGCTGTTTGGTCCATTGTGACAGCTTTGCCAGGACTTCCTTGAAACAACTCTAGAAGGAGCAAATTCCATCCCTGTGCCCAGTAAGTTTGGGAGCTGCCATCTTGGCTGAAATTGAAGCAGTTCTTCTAAGGCTTAGCAGAGGGCCTCCCCAGGGACTGTCAGGCCTTCTCTTAATGTCCCACATCCTGACCTCGATGGAGGGAGGCATGCAGCCAGTTCTTGACTTGTGATTTGCTAAAGGGCAACAAGCGCAAAGCTAGCAAGGTCAGATGACTAGGACAAACTCCACCCCAGCTCCCAGTCTCTATCTCAGCACAGTTGCCTGGGGTTTCTAAGAGATAATGGAAGGTCTAACTAGTTGGTGACTATCAACTGGAAGCCAGAGCTGAGCCAAGATCCCGAAGCCCTTCATGCTGTCTTAGCTCCCTGTCTGCCCACCTCTGAGGACTAACTAGGGCATATGAGGGGAATAGCAATCCTATGTTGGTGCTCTTGATGTAGGATGTAGACTAGAGGTTTCTTCCTTTACTTTGCTGTGAGCCTCTCAGTAGGCAGATCTTGATTTTTGTCATCTAACTCTCCCCATTGCAGCAGATGACAATGACTTGGGCTCAGAAGAGGTCTCTGGTTGTTAAATCTATGTTGAAAACAGATTAGACACTTGGCCCTTTATGTATAAGGATGCTTGGATAGCATAACAAATTTTTTGTAGTCTTTTTTTTTCCCTTGGAAAATGGAGAAGATGGAGAAGAATTTTAAGTGACTCAGTCACATTTTCTCATTTGACTTAAAGGAAGATATTTAGTTTAAAATGTAGCTAACCCTTTTTTGTCCCTTGTTCTTGAAATTTGGGCATTTTGACATACTTTCCATCTTTTATTTGCATTTACTTGTATTTGTAAAATAATTGCATTGTTTCTCATTTCTATTCTTAGTCTTTCAACAGCCCAGTGAGGTAGATATTGCTAATCCTGTTTTGCTGGTGCAAGCTTGAGGCTCGCGGGAGCTAAGCCTCTTGCTCAAGGCCACATTGGTGGGAAGAGGCCAATTAGTATCATCTGTCCAAAACACCATTCTCTCCCCTCTACACAGCCAAGTCCTCTCTATAACTAGGGAAGGCATGCTTTGGATACCCTTTTTCCTTTCTAAGAAGGAATTCAACTGGTATCAGCAACATGAAAACAAGCCATTAAGAAAGAGCTCTTTGAGTTTCCATCTTGGCTAGATTGGCAAGCTTTTTGTCAAGGCCAAGTTCAAAAAAAGTAGCAGGTGGTCTGAGAATAAAGGGAGGTAGTTCTTTCATTTCACCAGTTTTGTGGTGCTAGTACTAACCTGAGCCTGGCGCCAGCCTAGTATGCCAGGAGTCTTCTAGTGATGCACCAGCTTGCACACCTCTCTCAGGCAGTCCCTTGGAAGCCACTGGAAGGATTTTACTTTCTTGATCACTGGTTGTGCTTTCTCCTGGAAGGAGCAGGCCTGATGTTTGGGCTCTCAATCTTGGCCCGTTGTATCTCTTAGAACATCTGTTTGGCTAATGGAACCTCTCCTACTCCAACCCTCAAATTCAGGAAGCAGGGAGCGGATCTGCTGCAGGTGGTCCTGAAAGGAAGAACAGCATTAAAATTTTCAGGAGACTTGTGTCATGGGGGCTGGGAAGGACTGAAGGGGGTTGGAGCAGGTTCTTGGGTAGATGGGGTAATCAGGCTCTGACATTATCCAAATCTAGCTTCTGCCAGGAGAGTGCTCATGGCCTGGCCACGTAGGGCCAACAATTCTGGGGTAGGAGGGGATGAGGGTCCCAAAGCTTATTATACTTAGGAACAGAATCCAATAGGGAGGTAAAGGATGGGACCTTCTAAGTGCAGAATACCCCTGGGGCCTGGGCAGAAGCTTCTAAGGCTGAACATCCACTAGGGCTGGGCTGCCAATAAAGACAGACTTTGGAGTCAGACTGTCCTGGCTGGAATCCCAATGTGCTGATTTAGCTATTGTATAATGTTGGACGAGTCATTAGCCCCTTTCAGCTTCCATGTTCACATGTTCTCACACCCACCACAATCCAGATGCTGTTGTGTATACAGTGGTTTGCACTGTATTGTCATAATACCAGAGTGTTTACAATAGAGGCGGCCCAATAACAAACATGTAGATCTATTCAAATTTATGAGGTAAACAATCTAAATGGTTGTCAAAGGACAAGCGATAAATAGATTCATGAAAAATTTCAACCTCTGAAGTAATTTTAAGAAAGGAGAGGGTTAGAGAGATGGCTCCACAGTTAAGATCACACACTGCACTTGTAGAAGACCTGAGTTCAGTTCCCAATATCTATATCGGGTAGCTCACAACCACCTGTAACTCCAGCTCTATGGTATCCAACGCCTCTGGCCTCCACAGGCACCTACATTCATGCACACATACCTATACACAGCCACACACATATGAATATAACTAAAAATTAAAACATTTTTAAATAAAAAAATTTAAGAGATGGGAGAGCAAAGCAACATTGAAGTGCCATTTTATGCTTATTCAATTAATATAGTACAAAAATTAGCAGTATGGCCAGGAGTAACAGATAGTGCATGCCTGTAATCCCAGCTCCCAGAGAAAGAACTGTGATTATGAGGTTTCAGTATGATTTTGAGGCCAGCTGGCTACATAGCAAGACTTGTCTCAATAATGATGATGATGGGACTGGAGAGATGACTCAGCAGGTAAGAGCACTGGTTGTTCTTGCAGAGAACCCAGGTTGGACTCCCAGCACTCACATGGCAGCTAACAACTCTCCAATACATCAGTTTCAGGGGATCTGACACCCTCTTCTGTCCTCCTTGGGCATTGCACAACATACATGGAGGCAATACATACATATACATAAAATACAAATAATAAATAAAAATATTTTTAAATGTATCATATTATAAGCTACAGTAGTTGAGTTTGTTCTCCATATAACACGTTCATATACTTTATTAAGTTTTAAGCCTCTTTTAAATTAATTTTAAAATTTTATGTGTAGAGCATATTGCCTGAGTGTGTGTAAGTGCATACATGTCATATCATGCAATGCCCACAGAGGTCAGAAGTGGGTGTCAGATCCCCAGAAACTGGAGTTACAGATGGTTGTTAGAGAACCCAGGTTGGAATCCCAGCACCACATGGAAGCTAACAACTGTTCATAACTCCAGTTCTAGGGAGTTTGGTCCTCTGTGGGCATTGCATGACACGGGTGCACTTACCTACATGCAGGCAATACACATACACATAAAAATAATAAATAAAAAAATAACAATCTAAAAGTCAATAGGAGGATTTGTAAGTTGTAACTAATCTGCCTACTGACTGCCTTCGAGCAAGTGAAAACGATAAATCTGAAAAACATGAGATTGTATAATGTAGGATATAATGTTATGTGAATACATGAAAAAAATCAATTTAAATTGCATCTATAGATGATGGTAGTCATATAAAACCATATATGTGAACAAAGGTTAAAAGAAAATAGGCAAAAATATCCACTGTGTCAGGAGATGATATTGTGCAATGATGAATCCATTTTTCCCTTTGAATATGGTTTTTTTTTATTTTTTATTTTTTTGGTCTTTTTGAGACAGGGTCTCCTGCTGTCCTGGAACTCACTCTGTAGACTAGACTGGCCTTGAACTCACAGAGATCCTCCTGCCTCTGCCTCCCGAGTGCTGGGATTAAAGGTGTGTACCACCACGCCCAGCCCTTGGTTATAATTCACATAAACAGTTATGTTAAGATGTGACGGGGGCAGGTGTGATAAGACATACCTGTAACCCTAGCACTTGGAAGCTGAGACAGAAGGAGAATCTGAGGCCAGTCTATGTTACATTACAAGTTTGTGTCTCAAAAATAAAAATTTTAAATAGGACTGGGGATGTAGCTCAGTGATAGAGAGCTTGCCTAGCATGCACATGACCCTGGGATTGGTCCTCAGTACTAGGGGATAAAAATAGCAGGGTTCAGGGCTGGGGAGATGGCTTAGAAGTTAAGAGCACTTGCTGTTCTTCCAGAGGACCCAGGTGTGGCTCCCAGCACCCACATCGTAGTTCACAACCATCTGTAACTCCAGTTCTAGGGGATCTGATGCTCTCTTCTGGCCTCTGTGGGCACTGCATGCATTTGGTACACATACATACATGCAGGCACACACTCATACACATAAAACAATGTTTTAAAATATCAGGGTTCAGGTACAGGCCTTGGTTTCAGTGCTGTGATGGCTGATAAGTGGTTTCTCAGATTCCTGAGTGTCAAAACTACACAGGACAGTCTGATGCTTTCATGTTGTAGTCAAAGATCCTGAGATCTAGAGAGGCTGAATGACTTACATAACAGCTGAATGTCCTACACAAGGGTAAGTCCTCCCCCAGAGATAACTGACTGGCCTTAGTCATTTTGTCTTAGGCACCTCTACATTCAGGAATCAGCCACATATGGGGGGAGAGAAGACAGCCTAATGGAGAGAATTTTTTCAGTGCAAGGGCTAGGTTGTGAGGAGCCAGATGAGGGAGGGCAGAAAGACACTGCTGCTAGGATGCAAGCCCCCAGGCCATGGTCATCTCCACAGGACCCTGAGTGGCCTCAGCCAGACCCACCCACTGAAGCAGCACACGGGGCTATCAAGGACCGTCCGTCGTTATCCAGCCACTGCTGCCAATGGCCAGCTGACTTCCAATGCTCTGCCTGCAGGACCTGGACTTGAACTGAGAGATGGCACCCAGCAGGCAGCACATGTCAACCATCCCTCACCTCCCTGGGGTAAGAATGCCCTGCCTCAAGACCTAGAAGAAGCATCTAAATTTGACCAATTGTCATCCCACCTCTGCTTTGCCCCTCTGCTCTGGGAGGAATTGAGTTGTCACCTTATCTTTCACTTTTTCAGCCAAACAATAAGCAGTATTTGAGTACTTGCTTTGTGCCAAGTTCCAGGGGTGCCAAACTAACCCATGTGGGCTTGACTCCTATTGAGACACAAGGACCTTGACAGCTGTCTCTGCCATCTCCTGCTCTGGCATCCCTTCCTGCCTTTGCTTCCTTCATATCCAGCTTCAGTCCTCCATTCCCTGGCCCAGACACTTCCTCTTCATCTTTCCTACAAACTCCGATCCTGGACCAATGCTGCCAGCTGCTTCTGCAGCACTGGACCTCACTGCTAGGAACACCCAGTGTTTCTGGATCCACACCATGACACACATTGTCATTGCCTGCAAGCCCTCACTTCCTCCTTGATATCTTACTGGATTCCCCATGCCCTGCCAAATGAAGCGCCTGACCCGTGTTCTGGAAATCAGGTTCCCCAAACTTGACTCTAGCCATTTGTCAGGCCTTATCTTTCCCTGCTTTCCCTAGGAAACCCCCTCTTTGGCCAGCCTGAGCTGTGTGCCACTCCTTACCCTTGGACTCAATGCCCAGCTCTGCACTTTTTGGCTGTGTGATGTAGGGAGCCCTGGAGATCTCTGAGCCTCGGCCTAACTGTAAAATGAAATATTGGGTTAGATGTTTGAAAATTGCTGATGCAGGCATGGCGTTCTGAATGACTCAACCTTCAGCAAGACTCATCTGTGTGCACAAAGCATGAAATCAGTGGGCACATCTGGAAGCTTCTCAAAGGGGTGGTCCTGTTCTGACCTCAGATACCAATCTAGGAGGGGCTTAGTAGATGCCCTAGGATATACCCCTCATCCCAAGGGCCTTTTGTACTGGGCTCTGGAGGTCAGGGCTATGTCTTGGCCCTGTCTAGGACCCAACCCCTCTCTCTGCAGGACTGAATCTCACAGAGAAAATCAAGAAGATCAAGATCGTCTTTACTCCTACCATCTGCAAGCAGACCTGTGCCCATGGGCGCTGTGCCAACAGCTGTGAGCGGGGTGACACCACTACCCTGTACAGTCAGGGTGGCCATGGGCATGACCCAAAGTCCGGCTTCCGTATCTGTGAGTCCCTTTCCCACAGACGATTCTGGGGGGGATTGGGTGGCCACAAGAACAGGCCTAACTTGGCCTGGAGCCTTTTGTCCTGTGGCTCTATTAGTTGCCACAAATCACAATGGGGAGCAGAGTCTTCCCAACCCGGCTTCAGCCTGGCTGTGTGACTCCAGACAAGTCACATAACCTCTGAGTCCAAGTTGCTCCGATAGAGAAGAATCATACCATTGCCCTGTGTCCTAGGTTATTATGATTGGCTGGAGAGAGATGAGAGGCTTTTCAGAAAGGCCAGGACCACAAGGAAAGTTCTTGCATTTCACGGATTGCAACTCTCCCCAAACCCTCCAGATTTGGTGTCCCACTCCCCTGCTGCTTGTCACCCACTGGAGGTCTGCTGCCAATCACCTTGAATGTTGCTGTTATAGATTTCTGCCAGATCCCCTGCCTGAATGGTGGCCGTTGCATTGGGCGGGATGAATGCTGGTGTCCTGCCAACACTACAGGGAAGTTCTGCCATCTGCCTATCCCAAAGCCAGACAGGCAGCCTCCAGGGAGGGGCTCCCACCACAAAGTCCTGTTGGAAGGGCCCCTGAAGCAGTCCACCTTCATGTTGCCTCTCTCCAACCAGCTCGGTGAGTTCCAGAAGCTGGGGCAGCAGCCTGGGAAGAGCATCAGGTAGGGTAGATGCTGTCACTATTGCTGTGCTGGATGGGGACAGGGGGCATCATCAGTCCTAGCCTTGCTGTGGAGCCTCTCTCTTCTCTGCCACCCACAGGGCTTGTTTCTTTCTCTACACTTCTAGCTGAATCCCTCTGTGTGTCTATGCCATTACCCTGTGCTGGGAAAAGACAAAGAAGCTTATGGACCACTCCCGCTCCCCCACCCTCAGGCCTGGGCAGTAAAGGGAGGATGGGTAGGGATAGAATTCAGCATGTATTTTATTTCCCTGCCTTTTGTTAATAGATAACAAATCAAAGATACAAATACACAGCATTCTATAGGAGAGGGGTGGTGGGCCCCTGAACCCAGAGTGCCCATGAAGGCTGTGTGGTGGGGTGATCTTTAGTTAGCCCTTGAGAATGGGTTGCATGTGATTCAGTTGGCACTCAGGGCTGCACAGGGTCATGTGTGTGTATGTGGCGGTGGAACCAGGAAGAAGTCTCCAGCTTTACACTTAGTGCTTCTTCCTGTCCTCAGTGGGCATTGTTCTGGTTCCGCAAAATGAGCCAAAAAATGGAAGGGGACTTTAGGGGAGGCATACAGTCTGGAGTCTGCCTGACTCAGGGTGGTGGGCACTCTCAGAGGCTGGGAGTGAGGTGGGAGCCTGTTTCCCAGCTCTGACCTCAGTCCCTCTGCCCAGCCTCTGTGAACCCCTCCTTGGTAAAGGTCCACATTCACCACCCGCCCGAGGCCTCGGTGCAGGTGCACCAGGTGGCACGGGTGCGGGGTGAGGTGGACACTGTACTCAAGAACAGCGTGGAGACCAGAGCCCCTCCCCGGCTCCCTGCCGGCCCAGGCCACAGCCACTGGGACAGCAACAACATACCTGCTCAGGCTGGAGAACCCCCTCAGCCCCCACCCCCAGTGGTGCCCAGGCATCAGGCACCACTGGGCCGCTGTTATCTGAGCACCATTAATGGACAGGTGAGAACAAAGCTCTTGCCTCAGCCCTGGAGGCTTCTAGAACAGTGATTGCCTCCTACTGTGTCCTCCTCTCTCTCCTTGTTCTTGTGGAATATGTCTACAGGACTTGTACTTCCCAATGAGAAAACCCAAGGTATAAAAGTACCCAAGTGGGCTGAGAATGTAGGTTAGTTGGTGGAGTGCTTGCTTTGCAGGCATGAAGCCCTGGATTTGATCCCCAACACCACATAAACTGGATATGGTGGTACATACTTGTAATTTCAGCATTTGGGAGGTGGAGGCAGAAGGATCAAAAGTTTAAAGTGATCATAGAAAGTTCAAGACCAGCCTATGCTACATGGGATCCTGTCTCAAAAGAAAAAAAAGGGCCTGAGAGTGGAGAGTCTGGGCCCCCTCCCTGAACTGTGGATAATACTTGTCAGTGCCAGGCACTCAGAAGGTGACCAAGGAAGTCCCCTTTTAGAAGAGCTGTGACCAATACCCTCAGTCAAAGACAGCCTAGAGTTTCAGAAAATCCTGGGCTCTCTGTGAGCTGAGCCTAGGACTCTTATGTGGACAGCAGGTGTCACAGGTGTCCATGGTCTCTTTTCCAGTGTGCCAACCCCCTGCTGGAGCTAACTACCCAGGAAGACTGTTGTGGCAGTGTGGGAACCTTCTGGGGGATGACCTCATGTGTTCCATGCCCACTTAGACCAGGTGAGTACTGGTATCAAGATGGAAAGTTATAGGAAGTACTCATTCCCCTGGTGCCCACCTCTCACTACCACCAAGGGTTCCCAAGGCCAGGCAGGCAGAACTGGCTGGTAACCAAGCAGTCTTTCCAGATGTGCCTCAAGGAGCCTCCCCAACAGCTTGGACAGCTAAGCCACTCTTCCTGGCAGCTGGGCCTCTGCATAACCTGATAGTCTGTGAGAGGGTCCTCCATACTTCCACATATACCTGTGCCCCAGCCCCAGGAATCCAGAGTGTCTCCCTCTTTCCCCTGAGGGGTCTCAGGCCTCCTCCTTCCCTCCTGAGTATCTGTTCAGAATGCCCTTGGGGTGTGGGAACTCCAGTCCCTTGCCCCCTTTTGGGTGATTGGGTAAAGCCAACACACATTCATTCATTCATTCATTCAGCAAATAGTCTCTGGATGCCTCATATGTGTCAAGTCCTGAGGAGTCTGTGAGCAAAAAGCTATTGATGCAGCTCTCTGACATCTGGGAGGGGCGACTGGGTGCCTGATTATGGCTTCTGATTACTCAAGCCTATGTTCCCCTTCAGGCCTCATTCCTGGGCCTGGGCATGGATTTGGCATGTATTCTTCTTGCCTGTCAGCAGTCAGCTCGGTGAGCTGGTTTTGTGGGGGGCCTGGAGCAGTGCCCAAAGGTGGGAGGGGCGGGGCTGTTCCAAGCATCAGATTCAACAGTAGAGCTGTGACTACATGTTCCACATTCAAAATAAGTGCAGATGGTTTCACAGTGTGATGGTTCTTAGTGAAGCAGCAAAGGGTGGTATTCATCTCAAGGCTTGAGCATCCAGGGCATACCAAGAGCCAGTCTCCACTCTGTTTGCCTACCTCTCCCTGCCTTAGTCCAGTCTCCTGTGAAGTCTGACACTAAGAGGTAATAGTGCCAGCTTCCCAGGGCTGCTGTGGCTCTTACATGAGAGGGCACTACATGGTACATATTACCTGCCCCTATTATCTACAGTTCTGCAGATCCAACCAACCTCAGGTCAAAAATATGAGTGGCAGAGCTGGTGAGATGACTCAGCAGGTAAGGGCCTTGCAACTAAGTCTGACAACTTTTGAGTTCAATCACTGGAAACCTCATGGTAGAAGGAAAAAACAGACTCTCGCACATTGTCCTTTGATCGCCACATGCATGATGTGATACGCAAATACCCCCACACATACAAACACATGCATGTACACAAAATAAATTAAAATTTACTTGATTTTTTAAAATATTTTATTTATTATTTTTATGTGTATGCCTGTATTGCCTGCATGTAGGTAAGTGCACCCGTGTTGTGCAATGCCCGCGGAGGACAGAAGAGGCTGTCAGATCCCTTGGAACTGGAGTTATGGACAGTTGTTAGCTGCCATGTGGGTGCTGGGATTCAAACCCAGGACTTCTGCAAGAAAAGCCAGGGTTCTTAACTGCTGAGCCATCTCTCCAGCCCCTAAAATGTACTTTAAAATTTTTTTTAAATAGTTGAGTGTAGTGGTGCATGCCTTCAATCTCAGGCCTCCAGAGGCAGAGGCAGGCAGCCAGCCTAGTCTACAGGGAGATATCCTAACTAGGAAAAAAAACTTAAACATTCAACCGGTATGAAACAGACCATCTGAATACTTCTTAACACTTTATTTTATTTATTTATTTATTTGGTTTTTTTGAGACAGGGTCTCCCTGTAGCCCCAGCTCTCTTGGATTTCACTATGTAGACCAGGCTGGCCTAGAACTCACAGAGATCCACCTACCTCTGCCTCCCACATGCTCGGATTAAAGGCATATGCCTGGCTTATAACTAAAAAATATATTTTTAAATTAAAAAAAATTTGAGTGACAATCCACAATGTTCTAAAAAGTAGAACTTGAAATTGCTTCTCATGATGCTGAATCCATACACATGAAGTGCTTTGTGATCACATCCTGTTACAGCCCCTGCCATTCCACGGATGCTCTTTTTCCAGTACTGGTATCAGCTTTATTCACCTCACATCCCACTTGTTTACTATATAGTTGGGTCTGATCTGTACTGAATACACATAAAATCTTCCTGTCATATCCCCTAAATACTGTAAAATGCTAATTTCACATCATTTACACCACCTTAAATATTATAATCAATCTAGAAATGATTTAAAGTGCGTAAAAGGATATTCATAGGTTAGAGACTGTGCCATACATAAGAAACTTGAGCACCCACAGATTTTGATATCTGTGGGGTTCTGGAATCAGTCCCTCATGGATTCTGAGAGGTTTTTGTACATTTTTATTGTTGTTGTTATTATTATTATTATTAGAAATTATCCTCAAGGAAGGGAAAATGAACAAACTGACCTTGGGAAGAAACACATCAGTCTGGTCAGAGACTTGACTATAGGCCAGGGACGTTTTTATTATCTGACTACTTTTCTTGTTTTTTTTCCTCCACGTCAAGCCAATTCTTTTTTTTTTTTTTTAATTTCACTAATAATTACTATTTTAATGAGATAGGCCTTAACAAATATGCCAGAATGCATTCAATCTGG